GCAAAAGACACTTCCTTCTATCTTGTGAGATGACATTCCACCAGTCCTCTGAAATACCCTTCCCTTCCAGTGAGTCAATAAATCTGATTTTGTCACACTACAGGCTTGTTCTTGTTAATCTTTAAGAGGAGTTTGGACACTCTAAATATGACATGTAAAATGAGAAACTTCTGGAATATAACAGAAAAATGTCTTTATGATTCTGGGTCAAATGGTTTTAACTCTTTGAGGAATCACCACACTGCTTTCCACAATGCTTGAATTAATTTATACTTCCATAAACACTATGTAATTGATGTCTTTTCTCTGTAACCTCATCAAAATCTCTTGGTTTTTGACTCTTTAATAATATCCATTCTGATTGGTGTGAGATGGTATCTCATTGTGGTTTTGATTTGCATTTCTCTAATGCTCAGTTATGTTGAGCTTTTTTCCTATGATTGTTGGCCACATGTATGTTTTCTTTTGAAAAGTGTCTGTTCATGTGCTTTGCCCAGTTTTTAATATTTTTTTCCCTTGTAAGTTTGTTTAAGTTCTCTATACATGTTGGCTATTAGACCTTTTTCAGATGCAAAGTTTGCAAGTATTTTCTCCAATTCTGTAAGTTGTCTGTTATTCTCTTGATAGTTTATTTTGCTGTGCAGAAGCTCTTTAGTTTAATTAGATCCTATTTGTCATTTTGACTTTTGTTGCATTTGCTTTTGGGTTCCTCATCATAAAAATCTTTGCCAATTTCTTTGTCTAGATTGGTGTTGCCTAGGTTGTCTTTCGGGGTTTTTATAGTTTTTGCTTTTATATTTATGTCTTTTATTTATGTTTAGTTAATTTTTCTATGTTATAAGGAAGGGATAAAATTTCAATATTCTGCAAAGCTGAACAATAGCTCATTATATTTAACTTAAAAATTATTAGCTTATTGAATATCAAAACTTGAAGCTGCAGGGAAATCACATTTATTTTTAGGTTCCAAAATAGTTCTGAGTTCTCAATAGGAAAGCCTCTTTTATAAACTATAACAAAACTCTCATCTGAAAATTAAATACTATAAAATTGACACAACTATATCTATATTGAATGTCTTTATAATATCCAGAAACCTTCTGGTTTTTAGAAATGACAATGAAAATAGATTTACATTCTGGCTTTATAAATCAATTTTTATTTTAGAAAATTTTGAACATATAGAGAATACTATATACAACACCACGTATTCAACATCTTTAGTATCATTTAGCCAATAATGTTCTAGTATATATCTCTAAAATTCACACCTAAAGAAAACACAGAAAACATGTTTATCACATGTTAACATTTAATAATAATTTCTACAATAAAGTATCACTGAGCCTATTTCTCCAATTTCTTCATGAACATTTTTTACAGACTTTTTTCAAATCAGAATCCAAAGAGGATCTGCACATGCCATATTCCTGGAGTGTTTCCTAAGTGTATTTTACTCTATATGTTCACTGTATTTGTTGGAAAAGGCCACTGGTAGTCCTGAGATCAGCAGGGATCAGCATCATCTGGGAACTTGTTAGAAATGTAAGTTCTCAAGGAATGCCCCAAACCTATTGAACCTGAAATTCTAGAGTTAAGAGCCCAGCAATCTGCTGATGCACGCTAAAGTTTAAAACCTACTACTATAGTTCTACACACTCAAGATTTCATAGATTGTATTTTCTTGATACCATTTAATATGTTGATGTATCTCCCGTATGTCATACAGATTGCGGTTCTCAGGTACAGTTGTTTGGTAATGAAAATTCACATATAGTGGGCTTCTTTAACCTTCCAAAGAATCATATACAAAGATTCATAATGTCCTGTTGTCTCCTTTTCCAGTGATAAAAAGTTTGATCAGTAAGTCAAGTGTGTCAGCTTCATTCATCAATTCATTATTAAATTATCCATCAGCTTTTCACATAATAGTTTCAGTATTCATTTATGATCATTTCTCAAATCTGTGATTTCACTAGACTTTGCAAAAAGGGAATATACTAATTCTTTCAATTTGTTATTTGTTAGCAAAAGTAATTTAAAAAAACTTTTTGCACTATTTGGCTACCCTGAGAACAATTTGTACAAGAGAAGCAGGAAAACTGCCCAACTCTTTCCTTCATTTGCCAGTTTCCAAAACTGGTTCCACAGAAACCTGCAAACTGAAGTTGTTTTTTTAACTCAACATAATTAATTCATGAATTTGCAATGTGTTTCTATCCACTGCAGTTATTACTACTTTTGATGCTCATATTATCTGAACTTTGGCTAGCAGGAAACTCTTTAGGCATCTGAATCCTTTTAACATGATGCAAATCATTTATTTTTATAGTTTCCTTGTTTTCTGGCATGACAACATGCTCCAGGCTCATTTTGCACATTTTGTTTACCACTCCTCCCTTTTTTATTATTATTATTTCTCCAAGAATCTCTGGTTGCCTTAATTGGAAAAATCATAGAGTTCATCATTGCAAATTTGGGACAACTCATCACATATATATTTGTCTTTTTTTTTTTTTTTTTTCAGTGCAAATCAAGAAAACAGATTTACAGATTTTAGAATTTATATGATAAATTCTTACTGATATTTTCCGTTTAAAATTAGGAGTTCAGAGTATTAAAGTATCTGTTTAATTATACTGAAAGTCTTAGCTTCCAATGACATTAACACAAATATTTATTTACTTTCTCTGGCAATATGTACACAAATCTTCAGAATAAAATGATCAATATTGTTAGTAAAAATATAATCATAAGTCAGTTTAATGTTTCTTTGCATTTTCTTTTGTCCTTAGGCTAATCCCTACTAAGGATACATAGTTAACTCATTTTAAAGTCATTTGAAATAATTATGTGTGAGTGTAGGCCTCCGACAAGATACACAGTTCAGATGGTATAATTTTTGTTTTTTTTATTTTTAAGTATTGATTTTTCATTTTGATTTCATTTTGTTTATAATATGTAAGACAGTTATATACTACCAAAGTCAAATTTATGAGCATGGTAATCTGTCTTCCATATCCATCCCCTACACCCTGTCCCTACCACTTTTTATTTAGGTGAACTTTTTGCTAATTTGTTTTAGTATTACCTTATTTTTTTGTAAAGAAAAAAATAAATATGTATAGATATAGATATATCAATGTTTCTTATTTAAGTGCAAGTTAGCATACCGTACAAATTGTTATACATGTGCCCTTTCTCACTTCATAATGTGTTTTGGATGTCATTCCATAATAGCATACAGAGGTCTTCCTTATTTCTTTTTACACTTGTACAGTATTTAATTGTTTGGCTGTTCAATCATTTTCTTAAACAGTCCCCTATTACTGGACATTCAGATTGTTTCCAGTTGTTTGCAATGACAAAACCAGTGCTGTAAGAAATAATTATGTGGATACATATTTATATATATATATATTTTTTAATTTGTAAAGAACAGAAATGTATTTCTCACAGTTCTGGAGGATGGGAAGTCTAAGATCAAGGAGCTGGCACTTGTTGACTAGGGCTTTTTTGCTGTGTTCTTACATACAGAAGGCAAGCTAGCAAGATGCTCCCTGAAGCCTCTTTTATTAAGGGCCTTCATCCCAGTCCTGACAGAATCCCTCATGGCCTAGTGATCTCTTAAAGGGCCCACCTCTTGATGCTGTCACATTGGCAATACTTGAATTTGAGGGGACATATTCAAGCCACAGCAAACTGAACATTTCTCCCATGCCAGATAGCACCATGTTCTTTGTCAGTAGGTATTGGTAGAGGGGCACTGCAGAATAAAGGGGCTTCTCTTGCTTCTAAGATGATACTGTGACAGTTAATTTTATGTGTCAACTTGGCTGGGCCACAGGGTGCCTAGCTACTGGGTCATACTTTTTTTTTTTTTTTTTAAGAGACTTAACTTCTGCTCTGATTTTCCAATGATAAGGTCAAACATTATGCTAGGTGTTTCTGTGAGGGTGTTTTTACATGAGATTGACATTTCAATCAGTGAACTTTGAGTAATGCAGACTGCCCTCCTCAATGTTAGTGGGCTTGATCCAGTCAGGTGAAGGTCTGAAGAGAAAAACGACTGTCCTCTTCCAAGAACAAGAGAATCCTCCAACAGATACCTTTGGACTGGACCTGTACCATCAGTTTTCCTGAGTCTCCAGCCTCCTGCCTCACACTCCAGCTTTTGGACTTGTTAGACTTAATAATAATCAAACAAGCCAATCCTTTAAAGGGAGTTGTCTGGAGAATCTTGACAAACACAAACATCTACTGAGAGTTCCTGTCCAAGTTTTGCTCACACCCTAGCAAGAGGCTTTTGGCTTACCAGTAGAGGGTGTGAGGTTATTTGCTTGTAAGACTCGATCCACCAGCTGTACACCAGCTCTGGCCCCAGGAAAGACAGGGAATTTCCCCATCACTGAGTAGGCTATAGCCACTCTCTCTCCATTAGGCCTGACTTCACCATGGGTAAGGGGAGCCCCTTTCAAGGGTATTCTTAACTTGGGTACTCTCAGTCCTAGAACATCGTAGCTCTCTTTCATCCCTCTTAAAAGCTAATACCATTATCAGTTAACAGTTTTTTATATTAAAATTATCCCTGTTCAAGTTAATGGTATGGTTTCTGTCTCCTGACTAGATATCAGGATACAGTATTTACTGTCATATTTCTACTACTTTAAAGTTTTTCATAATATTTAAACTGAATTTTTAATCATTCATTACATACTTACACAGAACAAGACAAAGGATGATTTTCCTTTGTCTACTTATTGTAAGGAAGTGTCCAAGATTTACCACTACATCATGATTACAGGTGGTCACCAACTTATGATGGTTTTAGGATTTTTTGACTTTATGATGGGTTTATAGGGATGCAGCCCCATTTCAAGCTGAGGAGCTCCTTAGGACTTACAAATCATGCCTCTTTCATACCACGGTAAAATTGGAAAATTGTTACATCAGGCTGTCATTAAGTAGGAGGCTGCTGTGTTGCTAACGTTATATGCATTTTTAACTTATGATGGGTTTACTGGGAATTAACCACAATGTAAATCGAGGATCATCTGTATATTGTATGATTTTTGCTAATGCATTGAGAGAGATCTGTGTAAATTATCTATGACTTCAAAATACGCATATTACCTCCAACTGTGTTAACTCATGTTTTTTAAGAGAATAAGGGTATTTTCACCCTATGTGGATGTGCTGTAGAATTTTTCTAAGCTACAAAAGTCTATAAATAACAAATCAACTTAAACTTTTTGGGAAATAATTTCTACTAAAGATTCATAATCGGCGTATTCCTTCAATGACTGTACAAGTTCATCCAGTAGATAATCTCCTTGCATAAAAGTTTCAAGATCATGCAGTGTCTTGCTTATTCTGTGATCTGTGACCCTGTTCTGTGGAAAATTCTATGTTCTTATTTTCTCTGATCTTCCTTTACTTCCAATCTGAATTTTTCTAGCATTCTATCTTTTATTTGTTTCTTTTTCTAGATGCATGCTATACAGTTTTGCACATAACTTTGTCATAGCCAGCTCTCTATTTTTCAGTTGAGATCTCTCTTGTTGACATTCAGAAACAACACCTGTTGGAAGACGAACTATCCGGACAGCACTGGCTGTGGTATTTACATGCTGCCCCCCAGCTCCACTGGCTCGCTTAGTGTCAATTCTCAAATCTTTTGGATTAATCACGAGATTAATCTCAGTAGGCTGGGGTAATATCGCTAGTCATGGTGCTAGTATGGATGCGGCCTTGCTTTTCTGTCTTTGGCACTCTTTGTACTCTGTGCACACCTCCTTCAAATTTCATGTGCCCATAGGCTTCTGAACCCCCAATGCTGGCAGATGCATGTCTAAGGCCACCTATTTCACTTGGAAAATACTCCAGGGTTTCGAAATGCCGTCTTTAATGCAGCATATTGTTGATACATATCAAGTATCTCTGAAGTAAACAGCATTGCCTCCTGAACTCCAACTCCTGCAGTTACTGCCAGGATCAAATTATTTTCATCTGTTTCTTCTGAAGGACCCAAAAGTAAGATAATCTGATGCTTCAGCTGAGTTATTTCTTTTTGACACAGAGTTATTTCATTCTCTGCAAGTTTCCTTAAATCTTCATTCTCATAGTGCAGCAAGGGCTCGGTCTCCTGCAGCTCCTGCTCCTTCTCGTTCAGCAGTTTGATCCTTGCCACCAACTCTGGCCTCCTGACCTTCAAATGGGCTTCAGATCCCGCCTGGCGCTGGAGGAAGGTCCGCAAGGGCCCGCCCGGGGCGAACAGCTCCTGCAGCTGCGGGCTACTGGAGCTCAGGGGCTGGAGGGCTGGGCCAATGGCCCCGCGGGGTCAGAGCCACGGGGCAGCGCCCCACAGAAGCCGGGACCGCCCATATTTTTATATTTTTTTGCTAGATGACTTTGAGATGGATTCTTAGAAGTGGACTCTGAGTCAAAAGTAAATAAATGTGTTTGGCCATTGTGATGGTTAATATTGAGTGTCAACTTGATTGGACTGAAGGATGCAAAGTATTGTATCCGGGTGTTGCCAGGATAAATTAATATTTGCATCAGTGCGCTGGGAGAGCAAGACTCACTCTTAGGAAGACACACCCACAATGTGGGTGGGCACCATTCAACTGCTTGCCAGTGTGGCTAGAAAAATCAGGAGAAGAAGGTGGAAGAAGCTGAGTTGCTGAGTCTCCCAGCCTTCATCTTTCTTTTGTGTTGGATGCTTCCCACCCTTAAACATGAGAGTCCAAGTTAGTTGGCTTTTGGACTCGTGAACTTATACTAGCGTCTTGCCAGGGGCTCTCGGACCTTCAGACATAGACTGAAGGCTGCACTGTTAGCTTCCCAACTTTTGAGATTTTTAGGACTTGGACTTGGCCACTACTGACTTCCTTGCTGCTCAACTTGCAGATAGCCTGTTGTGGGACTTCACCTTGTTACTGTGTGAGTCGTGTCTCCTAATAAACTCTCTTTCATATATACATATATTCTATTAGTTCTATCCCTCTAGACAACCCTATCACAGCCGTCCCACAAAAATGTGATGGACCCTCACCCAAAATTTGGTTTGGATATCAAGGCTGATGGTGCCACATATGCACCAAGATGGTATAAAAAGTTCTATTACTCATACAGTGAGTTTTTCTGACAAGAACAGGGCAATGTCTCAAACATAAATAAGGATGGCTTGAGAAACTGGAGGAAGGAGACTAGTTTGTTTTTTATGGTTGCTAGGAGTGGGGTTAGGGTAAGAATTATTGCATAGGGGCTAGCACTTGTGTGTTTTGAACTTCCTACTGGTACCAAAGGTAGGAGCATCGAGCCTTCCTCATCAGCTTGTCCTGATGTGTTTGGAAGGGCAAGTGGGAGTGGTGAGGCTTAAAAGTTGTCTGCTGTCCATTACAAAAAATTGAGTCAGACTCTTTTTGTTACATCTTGACAAATTCTACTCCAAAGTGGTTGTACCCTTTTGTAGTTTGGATTGCCTATTTTTTCCATAGCTTTGCCAAACAAACAAACAAACAAAACTCTGTGGTCAGGCTTTTGAATTGTTAACAATCTGATAAGTGAGACATGGAATGACCATGTAATTTTAATGTTAGTGTATTCTGTGAGGTTGTATACATTTTTATATGTTTAAGCTGTGGCTAATATGCTCTTACCTTATGCCTATTTTCTATAAGGCTATTGATGTTTTCTTCTCTTTTTTTACAAGCTCTTTGTATATTACTGACACTATTTTTCTGTTATATAACTTACATAATTTTTTTCATTTATTTTTTTGCTGATGGTGTTTTCTTTCTGACAAAAGATTTTTTTAATTAAATGTTATCAAATGTATTACTACTTTCTCTTACAGAATCTGAATTCTGGTCTCTATTAAGAAAATAACTCTTCTAAATTTGCATCTGTGATTATTATACATTTTTCTGTACTTTATTCATCCATTAAGAATTCTATATTGTCTCTATTAATCTCCTCCTAGTCATATCTATGTATTTTAACACTGTTTAAATAAAATAACACATAAAACTAAAAGTGGAATTGTCCAGTCTTCATAATAAAATCCATCAATTACTTTGGTAAAATGGGTCTAGAAATCAGATAGAGCTCAGCATAATAAGAAAACTGATTAATCGTGCCCATGTGACTCATTTTACGTTAAACCTAATGGTTTATTTAACTGACAGCCAGTGTCTCCTTTTAGGATGATTTGAACAGTAATTTAGTGTAATTTGAGTTGATAAAGTACTGATGATATAACAGAAAGATCTGGGTTCATCCACTGGTAGCTGTATTTAAGGAAAGATGATTTCCTGGCATTCCCAAATTCTGTACTTTTGAGGGATTCTGTTCCCTAAAGTGAATGTGGTGTAAAGAAGCTGTCATTCAATCCTAATGGTTCAAGGAAACCCAATCTTATATAACTTGCCAAGGAATACACAGCCAAATAGTATTCAATCTCTGAGGGAAAACAGCTGTGTTTTGACATTTTGCATATACTTTTAAAGTAAAACAAAAAAAATTTGCTTAAACTGTCCTTTTAGATGCTCAGAGTACTTATTGTTTCAAAAGTTTTTTTCTAAAACACGATGCAGTATGTTCTTTTGCTTTAAAGCAGGTATGCAGTAATTTTGACATGGTATTATGAAAATCTACTTTTGAGTCACCTAGCTTCAGAAATCACCTAAACAACTTACATCTGAACAGCACACTTACACAACTGAACTGAGTTACATTACAACAAACCTCTTCTACTAGCATTCCCTTTTAAGAGCAAGAAAAAAAAAATGAAGTTTGGCAACATGATTTAACAGCTGCATATAGTATTTATGCTAAAGAAATCACATAGCAGATTTTCAATTACCCGCAGAAGGAGGTCCAAGGAGAGCACACAATTAAGCTACACAGATAATCATCTCAACCATGAGTTTCAACCATCTGAGCTGTTAGTAATTGGCCAATTTTTATTTCACTACTAACCTGGCTGTTCTCCCCAGGAACATAACAAGAGATATTCAATAATGAGGAACAACTGTGAATTATTAATAACTTGAAATATTCCATATACTGAATGAATATTGCATATTAATTCTTCTTAAATGAGAAACATGATATATCAACGAACAACGAGAGATAGAAATTGTTGATAGGACAAAGTCAATATAAACACTTGGCTTGAAGGATAGAAAGGAGCTTATGTGGGATGGAGCAGCATACTCAAGGGACAAATAGCTAAGCATTCCCATAGTTTCTTCCACAATAAAATAATGCAATCTTTTCATGTACACACTGTATTTTCTATGTTTCTATAGCCTGAAAGCATTATATGAAATGGTCATTGACATATGAAGACTCAGAAATAATCATGTGACTATTATAATTTATAGCAAATGTTGAATGGACAGTTTTTAAAAATTTTGTAGTGTTTCTGTGATCCATAATACATGGCTATCTTGAAAGTTAGCAATTATTTCTTGCACTTTTTTTCTGCTTGTGAAAACTTCAAATTGATTCTTTTTCTAATATTTAGTTCATCCTCCAAATAATTACTTAACTTTTATCAGCAGCATCTTTTTATTTTAATTGGATCATGATACTATGCCAAAGAGTGATTTAAAAATCTTTCAGTGTCAGAAACGTAGTAAGGAGTGGTGGAAATTATGCTAAGCTATATTTTACTACAAAGATCATGGTTTCATTTCCAAAATGCCACTGCTGCTCTGTTGCAGTTAATTATTTCCATTAAAAAATGTAAGGCCAAGTTTTGATTTGTGTCAAGCTTTAGAATTGTTAATAATCTGATAATGGAGAAATGGAATCACTATTTAATTTTAATGTTAATATATTTTGTGAGGTTGTATACATTTTCATATGTTTAGCTATGGCTAATATGCTCTTATATTATGCCTATTTTCCTATAAGGCTGTTGCTATTTTCTTCTCTTTTTTTTTTTTTTTTTTTTTTTTTACAAGCTCTTTGTATATTATTGATATTAACTATTTTTCTGTTATGCAACTTATATGATTTTGAATTTTTTTTTTTTTTTTTGCTGATGGTGTTTTCTTTCTGACAAAAGATTTTTTTAATGTTATCAAATTTATTAGTATTTTCTCTTACAGTATCTGAATTTTAAGAAGAAAATAGTCATTTCTCACAGGTAATAGATTAAAGCATCCTTGCCTTCTACTACTGGTATTGTGTTTCATTTAACTTTTCAATCTTTTCAACCTCTGATCTACTTGAAACACATAAGGGTGTATGGTGTGAGGAACAGATCAAATTTTGACTTTTGTGTTTTGCTGTTGTGTAGTTTGAACACCACTAATTTAAAAAGCCCATCTTTTCTCCCAACTGTTGTGAGATGTCACATTTGTCATATATAACTTTTTTTTATTTCTTAACTTTTTTTTCTGGTTCACTGATCCATGTATCTATGTATATGCAAATACTCCACTGATTTAATAAAATAAACATGATAATATATTTTGACATTTGGTAGGATTTACCCTCCTATCAACATTGTTATTTTTCAAGGTCCTCCTAAGTATTCTTACTTGTTGGTTTTACCAAATGAATCCTAAAACCTAGGTTCATAAAAATGCTTGATGATATTTTTATTGGAATACTCTTACATTTAGGTAACTCAAGGAAAATTGACATAATAATGTTGATTCTTTATTTTCAAGACCACAGCATTCTACTAATTTTGTACCACTAAAGATACCAGAACTGCTTTTGTAAAAATTATAACTGAGACAATTTTCACAGTGAAAGAGGTATGACCTAACTGACTCCACCTTGCTTCGAACCTCAAAGTTGTCTGTCTTCATTCTTGGGCGTAGGCCAAACTATATTTGAGAGAAACTTAGTTTATGGTTTAGCTTTGAAACAAGGACAATAGTAGCCCTTTTCCAAAACAGATTCCCTTCCTGCCTTCGTACTACACTGCCTTTGCAAGACTAACAAATTAGTCACAAAATTAGAAATTATGGTTTAGGAATCATGCAGCTGGAGGCTGCAAGATTCTTAACCTCCCCAGATTGCTCCTGGAGATAACATCACTATTGTGAAATGTAAGATCACTGCTTGACGTATTTTGCAGACGTTGCATTCAATGTACCAGCAGACACTATCCAGATTAATCAACTAGCTTGTCTGGTCTTGTGGCCACTCATCCAGGAACTGACTCAGGTCAAGAGGACAGCTTTGACTCCCTAAGATTTCATCTCCAACCTGACCAGTCAGAACTCCCGTCAAATTATCTTCAAAAATTCCAGTCCCTGAATTCTCAGGGAGACTGATTTCAGGAATAATAAAACTTCGTTTTCCTACACAGCTGGCTCTGTGTGAATTACTCTTTCTCTCTTGCAGTGCCCCTGT